TAATTATTATTATTTTTTTTTATTTCTTTTTTTTTTGTGTCATTCCCTTATATATAATTTTCGAATGCGTTGAGCCTACGTGGCTGCTTCTGGTGCTTCGGAATCCTACTTGGCAAAGAATCATAGCTCGTAATTAGATTTAGACAAATAATAATGATATATTAATAATTAATAATCTAGGTTAGGACATTCCACAAATATTATTTAGCTAACTTAGGTATTTTAATATCACTTGTACTAATATAACCATTTAATTTTTTGTAATTTTACATCGTGAGTTAGTGACAAATATATCACTGACTTTTGATTTGTTTCATTCAATTAGCTATTGAATTGTAAATATATTTTAAAAGTTGATAACTTTTGTATTTTTTATCGGTTTTACATATATAATATATCAAATTAACCACCTTTTGATGATGTTCGATTTGACATCCATATTGTATATATGAAATAAATAAATTATATTTATCTTTATAATAATAGAAAATAATAATATTTATTAAAATTCATTAGAAAAATAAAATTATTTCTCAATTGATGTTTAATGTAGTTATATGTTGTAAATTATAAAAATTATTATAATATAACACAAGTAAGTCGCACAAATAATAAGTTTCGTACTTAATATATAATAATATATATATTTTTATCAAAGGTTTTAAATTTCAACTATTTTTTCTCATTAATTTTAGATTTTAAAGAAAATATTAGCAAGCATCCGTATAATACACGGGCGTTGTACTACTTGATAATGTTTCCCAATTTAATGCGACACCATTTATTCCTGGTTTTTTCATATTTACTATTGTTATTTTATTTATTTTCTCTTGCAGTTTTTCTTTGCTTTTTTCGGGTACCGACTTGCATCAATAAAAAGAAAACGAAAAATGTCATTTTTCCTTCATTTGTACATAAATGTTCTTGTTTTTAAGGAATCATAAAATCTAAATTTTAATGTCCAGAAAAGGGGTAAAAGTGAAAATATTGGGATTTTGGATATATTTTTATGTTGGTTGACTTCAAATTATGGCATCTCCGGTCCCGTTACGGTACCATCCCGTCGGTTGTTTTAACCGTTGGATCCACGTGTAGTTAGATAAGATAGATGATCCAACGGTTAAAACACCCGACAGGCTGGTACCGTAACGGGACCGTAGCATTTCCCCAAATTATGTACCAAATCTCCGAAAGTATTGGATCAGTTCTCCATTGACTTTGGAAATAATTATGAATACAACTCTTTTGACACTCTCGTGCAAGTCTTCTGGTCAGATATTAACACATAATTTTATAAATTTGATGTGTCTAACTGTCTATAGTCTAACAATGTCTCATAATCAACCCCTGATTGATTTCTGCACAAATTTTCAATGAACTTTTAAAAAATAAAATAAAATAATTGTAGCCTTGTAAAAACCAAAGTTTGTTGATGAGGGTAGAAAAGGAAAAGGAACAAGAAAATAAATAAATAAATAAATAAAGCATTAATCTGGTTAAATGAAAGTACTACTTTGTCTACAATGGATTTGGCCAGTAATAAGAGGATCAATATTTCCATTCAAGACTGCATTTACATCAGAAAATCGGACTCCCGATTTCAGGTCATGCACCAGACTGTTCGGCCCGAAAACATATTTTCGGGTAATTTCACTCCACCGGTCAATTGGAGCAACTTTCTTGATATTTTTCACGCTCGATATGCCTTGGTCCCGCATAACTACGAGTAGTTTGGCTTTCAAACGATTCAGCGCCTTTACTTTGTTAGCAAAGCGACTCCTTTCGCCTGGCCACGAGACGGTCGATTAGCATTATCAATTGTTTTTCTTTCTTACTTATGCACTCTAATGATATGACAAAACAAGAAGTTCAATGATATGACAAAACCACAAAATTAATTAATCACCTGCCGATTGGAATTCTAAACCTGTTGGCAAATGCCGGACATGAACTGATGAAGTGTACGAAACCACTAAATCCTCGTCATCAATTAACAGACTGGGAGATTTTTCGATGAATAGAGGAATTATGTCCACATATGCAACAACGCAAGCCTAAAAATATTTTTAAAGAAATATTGAGTTACATTATAAGAAGTAATGATTTGCTCAGAAAGTGTAAAATGTCAGCTTGCAAGAAGCTATATACACGCATTAGATAAACTAACAAACTTCCATACCTCAGAATGAGAAGTAGAATTTTTTTCGAGACTTCTTATCATAGAGTGCACACCTCTTTCTCCCGTCAGATACCCGTAAGCGAACTTAAATTCCAACTCAATAGTTGCGGATTTTAAACCGCCATTATCTGAAGGATAACTCTCTACAATCCTCCCAGCATGACCCTGCCTTTCGGCCCATTTCATGTACACCTGTGCCAGCTGTCCTGTCCACCTCTGGATATATAGTTTATATATTTGATAGGGATCATTAATAGAACTCCTCTAAAATATATGAAAATTACGAAGAAAAAAAAACCCATGAAGTTTGGTCTAATTACAAAAAGGAATTCCAATCGAACCGAACCTCAGAATATGCATCTTTAGGTCTCGATTCAAGAAAGATGCATGCTCCCTCCATGTCGTACGGTTCCTTGAGAAGCTTGGACAGCTCGTATTTGTCCAAATAATTGTTCAAAGACAAAGAAGTACTGTACGCTTGTTTTAATAATGCGTAGTTAACAGCATCTATTTCGGCAAGCTCCGTGATAAGTTTAGCTTCCTCTGCCTAAACATTTATTTAAAAAAAATAAAAAAGTAAATGGAGAAACAATCTTGAACCAATATTTTGTGTTAATAAGGCAAAAAAAAACTTCATGCATATAATGCAGCCGCTAGGCTAAGCACTCGAACAAAACTGACAGACGTAAAAAAGACAGAAATGAAGCGAAAAGAAGCAAATTCGTAATAACACCTTATACGTGAGATCCTTGAGAGTATCAACCACCTTGGCACTTTCGGCCAGCTCGTTCAGGATCTCGTTTGATTTGCTTAGGTCATCCCACA